GGCCATCTCCCCTCGGGGGTGATTTCTTGCTTTCTGTCTCTATCTATCTCCGGCTTTCTGGCAAGTGCATGAGCCCTATAGCAAAAATCTCTCAAAAAAAAATAATTTAAAAAAAAAAGAAAAAAGAAAAAGAAAGAAAGAAAATATGTCCTAACTAACTTTCCTGGCAATCTAATAAATTGCAAAGCTCAAACAAAATTTTCTGAAGCAACTACTAAAATATTTTCATCCCCAAATCCATCTCTTTCTAGTTTAGAAGATTTTTTTTTTTTTTTGGAGAGGTTTTTGCTATAGGGCCCGTGCGCTCTCCAGACAGACAGAGAGAGACAGAGAGACAGAAAGTGAGAAATCACCCCCCAAGAGGGGATGGCCACGCTGCAATCCCTTCTCCTCCATTCTCTCGGGATCATGGGTGGGCATGCACGCAAACACACCCGGCGTGAGTTTAAAGCCACCGGGTCCAGGACATGATCTGTGGTCCAAGACGTGGGAGTCCAGCGACATAGCCATTACACTAACTGCTGGTCCCCCAGAAGATTTTTTTTTTAATAAGTTCTATTTCTCTCAAGCAAAAATCAGAGGAAATAAATCCAATGACAAAAAATTCTTCAAATAACAGCCTCAAAAATATAAATGGAAAGAAAAGTCCAAGATTTAAAATTCAAGCAAATTATTTTGCTTATGGACAAATGGATCTCCCAAATAGAACAATAATCTACAGAAATATTTCTGAGACATCAAGAGTCAAGATGGTAAACCAGCAAACTGGATAATTCTTTGCAGATTAGAAACATCTCCCTGAATCACGTTAAAAGCAAGGGATGATGGCGGGCCTGGCTTCTACTTGCAAAATCATAATCCCAGGTCTCCTCTTTCTGGCAGCTGTGGAGCTATGACATGCGTGTGTGCAGCCCACTGCACAATCAGCAGCCCTAAGGCAAATCCAGCTTCAGGCTCCGGCTGGAACATTTAATGAAGTGACTGATTAAATAAAAGCATCCCCCTTTGTTAAGCAATACTTTCTAAAGCAGCATGGATTTAGAGGTAGCCCTGTGAGCTTCTAGGAGATAAGCACTATATAAATACAAGGTAATAGTGGGATTAGAGTGGAGGCAAGGCCTGCCTCATAGGTACAAAATGAGAAACGGGAGGGAGGAATCCTTAAAAAAATAAATAAATAAAGGAGATAGCAGCCCTTCACTTTCTCTCATTTACTTTTTTCTTCCACAGCATTACTTCTGATAGTGACATCGCTTTTCTCTTGGGGCTAGTTATTTTATTTTCTGTTTCAAAAATATTCTCCAATTATTGCCAACATACAAACTTCTTTGGGTTCTAACAGGAAATCCAAGTGACAGCTCATGATTAAATACATGCACTAAGAAACAATCGTTTCTTTGAATTGACCATATTGCCTCTAAATTTCCCATCTCCCAAGGTTAAAATGACCCCAGACCGACGAAATTTTAACAAGCTTTCAAGGCTCTTTCTCCTGTCCCCAGGCAAGTATTAACACCTTCCATGAAAATTCAGTTCCATTCAAGAACAGTAGCAAGGCCTCATCCCATGGCACAAGTAAAGCTTATCTTTTTTACTTCCTTCACCAATTGCTTATGACTTTCCTTTTCATTTCTTTTCATATTTCTCAAGCAAGTACGATCTGTGCTGATAAATAAATAGCAAACCAACTGAATGGTTAGTCAGACTTTATACATTTATAGTATTTAGCATTAAATTGCACAAAATTTTCACTGGGAGTCTTTATCCCTCCCTAGGCATGTGTGTGCAGTAGATTTAAGAAATTCTGCAGGAGTCCAAGTGTCTGTTCTTGCTGATAGTGTTGAGCAGCAACTCCTGTCCATCCACTCATCCAAGCTCTGGTGAACTCTGGACAGCATAAAGTTTTACCTGGACCACTGCCATCGACCCCTAGAATTCATCATCCAAACAGGATACATAATGAAAGAAGCATTCTATTAACTATACTAGGCAAAATAATAAAAGGGCAGAAATGTAAACTGTTCTAGGAAAACTGGAATACTTGGTCACTCTATTAGTTTCCCTACTTCTAGTCTGGTATCCCTTGAGATCTCCCTTCTCCTGGGTATCAGAGTGATCAATTGTCATTAATAGGTCATGTGACTCTCCCACTTAAAGTCCTCTAATAATTCCCAATAACCATGGGATGAATACCAGCATTCCTCAGACAGCATAAAATGTTTACTTTCTCTAGCTCCTGCTGTCATTCAGTGATTGCAATTTTTTATGTTACCTTTAAAGGTTTGACAACTGAGCTGGCTGTGGTGGCCCAAACACTACCAATCCATTCTTAATCTCCAGGCCTCTATAACTAATGAGTCGCCTGTATTAAAATCTATTTCCTTGTATTTCTCAGTTGCTAAGGATAGTGCTTTACCAATCCTGCATTCCTTTAGTGTCTGCTGACACCTAGTTAAGACCTATGAAACACTGATCTGAGTGAACACAGACATAGAACAATGAGACATGCCACATTCTATCCTCTGCAGAGACAAAGGCCATAGTAGGCTGGCTTCACCTTAAATCAGAAGCTGTCTACATTTA